TGCTTATCAGTTGTGTAAACTGTTGCTCAGTCGTCATACTGTTTATCGCGCCCCTACGTGATGCATTTTTTCATATTAAAAGGCATGGTCTTTTTCCGTACGTCAGCAAAGAAAAATTTATTCATATCTTAAAGCCTTCGCTTAAATAAGCAACGCAAAATTCTCTAACATTTCATCACAGCAGAGTAAATATCCTAATAGCTAGAAGTTGTGGTTTACTGGACCATTGTTGCGATGAATTTCATAAAATATAGTTGTCAGAAGTGTCAAAGTTGGAAGTGACAGTAGCTAGTCTACTATCGACTGGTAAGTCAGCTCTCTCCAGGTAGCGTACCAGCACCCACGGTCACCATGTTTGTTAGCATTTCTGTTAATTAACGATCATTACTTAATGCGTTAGCTGAAGAAGACCGGCAAGCCATGCGAAACCTGATCGTAGTTAGCTACGCGGCTTACCAGTGCACTCCGTTTGAAAGGAAACTTCTTGAATTCACAGGATCCAATTTGCAGGATCAAACAATTTCGAACATCTACCATGTATTCATTAGTCACATTATTTCCTAAAAAAACGAAAATTCAAATACTGCTTCCCGCCTGCTGAAACGGTGGTTCCTTGCCTTGGTTTTATCTATTCGTTGTTGAGGGTTATCTTCTTCGGTTTTGTTTGTTAAGGTTTGTCTCAAGAATCATGAGGAAATGAGGATTGTTGATGCGTTAGTAACTGCAATGCATCATCGTGCTTTACATTACTTGTTGGACTGAATAGTCATTTTCCGTCTACATGAAACATTTTTAGAACCTTTGCTTTGCCGTCAAAACGTTAAGTTCATTGTGGAATAGTGGAATTGTGGAATTGTCGTGCATCATTTTACCTATTTGTACGCCACACGGAGTTACTGTGCCACCCGACTGCTGTCATAAACTTCAAGGGCGTCACAGAACCAATTCCATGCATTACAGAAGCGCGGCGTTGTTTGATCCCTCCGACATTAAACCCAGACTTTTAGTGGAAATGCTAATTATGCCATACTTACAGTTAGCAAATGCTTTCTTATCTTACGTCTTCTTAACTATATTGTCTCTAAGCATCCTGCAGATCGACGTATTTTATCGACGTACGTCATATTGTTTTGTAACATTTCTTTGGACGCATGCGCGAACCGTATTTGATAAAATCAAATTTTCTAGGCGACTGGCAGGTGTCAGTTCTGTACGACGGCGAACACATCCGAGGCAGTCCATTCATGTGCAAAGTGTTCGACGCCGGTCTCGTTGAGATCCAGGGCCTGGAGGCTGGTTCGATTGGTGAAGAAATCGCATTCACGGTGGATGCTAGGGTTGCCGGCAGTGGAACGATAACCGTTTGATTGTTGTACGGATGTTCGGCTCACATTTCAGGCGATTTTTCGTTTTCAGGTCGAGGCGTTGCACAATCATCGACCGGTCAGGACGTTCGTTGAGCAGCTGGATGTACAGCTGTATCGAGCGCACTTCATTCCCGCCGGAGCTGGAAAGTACGACATCCACGTATGGATGAATGATGTCGAAATCAACGGTATTTCAATTGCTCAGTTCTTCGAACCGTCCTTGTTTGCGTGTCCCCTTAATGATGCAGTTCTTCATCCTTTTCGACACATCATATGTAACAGATACGAGGTTACAGTTTAATACGGCTCCTTTTGTTACCGTACAACACGCAGCACTGTTTATCATACCTGTACTTATCCGAAAATGCCACAGGTTATGATGTAATTGGACTGGATGCAATAAACTTTAGCATCGTATTTATGTCTCATCAGATGCATCGACAAAAAACGATTATACTAACGTTCCTCATCACTGAGTTTTTAATGGCGTCTGGTTTTCTAAGGTTTCTCAGGCGGTTGAACGTCCGACTCAAGATCGAAGGACTGTGCTTTTGGTTTTGATCAGGTCAGTCACGTTTCGTTCTTGTGACGTCGAAAAATGAGTGCAAAGTTCATCAGAAGGAAGTGTGAGACTGCACGAAGTAGTGGTCATTGCACTGCAGATATGGCTTTAGAAAGAGTGGTGGCAAGGCTGCCATGATTGATTACGCAACAGCACATTGATGACACACCTAAGCTCAGCGAGAGAAGAGTGCTGCACCTGGCGTCAATCTTGGACCTTCGTGGAAGCAACCTAACATTTCAACTGTTACAAACTTTTCTTTTTTCATTTTTGTACAAGTCCTGTTCCGCAGTCTCATCTTCATGGATTCCATTAACGTGTTGTGACTGTAAGGCGGTGTGAAGTAGCGAACGTGATCCGTAAAGCGCTGCCGATCGCAACGACCCACTTTATCTCTTGTAGTGCGAATTACATTGCACTCATCATTGCCTGCTGTAGCCACGATGGCAGACTGGCAGAGTGCCGAATCGAATTTCGAAAGGATCTTATCGTATTCACTTTTCATCATTTTGAGGTACCACTGCGTTTCAAGCATGCGCTTGACAACACACTGTGCTGGCATCTGAGCTGTAAATATTGCCTTAAGATAATACAAGCTGTTGAACTGATGGCATAAATCAGTGTCGCATCGTAGGTTTGATAAAACACAACGATTGGCTTCCGCCATGGAAATGCAAACGGTACTGACGATTACAAGATGTCCTTTGCTTGTTCCTGTTTTATTATTCGTGGTCTGCTTAAATGGCGCTGTAGTCTTCTAGGAGTAGAAGTCTATGGACAGCACAGTATAATCCGGTTTACGAAAAGTCATGTATTTATGTGATATGAATAGGCAGAATAAGTAGCCCCTATGAAGTTAGGAAAAACCGTGCATTGGAAGCCCCCTCAACGTCTTCAACCTCAAGGTGTTGGGTAACGGAAACATCAAAAGCAGGACATGTCTTTCAGGCAGAATTACAGCGAGGTGTTTTCTCCATTCACTGCACCAGTCCCGAATGCTTTTGTGAGCCTTGAATTGTCGCCATGGCAACTATGTTATGACAGTTTTCCGCATTCCTATCTGTTAAATCTGCCTATGAGAACGCCACTAACGAAAATTTCCGAAAAGATTCTGAGCCATTGTCTTTTAATGATCCGGTGAAATCGCTCATCTACTCGACAGACTGTGAACAGCGACTTGTCCAGCTACATCGAAAGGTCGATCAAACGACGACGTCCACCTGCCTCTCCGTTTTTACATCCGTCTGTCCATTCATCTATTTATGCATCTGTCAGCTTATTCATATATCCACCTATATATCTACCTATTAAACTGTCTGTCTACCCATACATCTGCCATCTATTTGTTTCGCCAGTTACGTGTCCCTGTCTGTCTGACTATCTGTCTATCCATCCTTATACTGCCTGCCTACCTCTCTATCTGTCTATCTCCGTTTACCTATCTGTCGAAATGCGTATTTGTATGCTTGACTGTCTATCATTCTATTTCTGCATTAATTGATTCACTCATTAATCCACTCAACCCGACTCTTGTCGGTTCACCCTATTCTTCCATCCATTGTTACATCTGCTGCTCCTTTCCGGATCCGGGTGCAGCATCCAGCAGATTTTTTTTGAATAGTTCCCCTCCACGAACCGAGCAAGCTGCAGGGACTGAATTTCAAGACGTGATGTTGTCGCCTGTTCCATGCATCTGACTGATCTGGCGATGACCTATTGCTTGACGTGTTGCTTTGTGCTTTTGCGAAAAGAGTTCGTCTTGCGAGACTATCCTCTGCGCGCTGACCTCCTGCCCAGAGCCAAGGCAGTGGTGATCCCTTGAATTAATTGATGAGTGGCTTGAAAACGAGAGTATCTCTCGGTAAAATACACATATAATTCTTCGAAAAAACCTAATTACTGTCGTTTGTATGCCGGATCGCTGTTTGGATCAGAATCAGAAAACTGAATGCATTGAACTCGTAAACCTGTAACGTCGGTTCAATCACCCAACCCTATGTGCATGGTCTGAATTCCTGTACCATGCTTTAACACATCGAACTGACGCTGAAAATTTTTTTGTATTGCTTTCAGCAACGCAAGAAGGATTACACGCCGTTATTTCATCTTCCGTGGGTATTTGTTTTTGAGACATGCCATATGTTTTAGTTCTTGAAACGCCTGATGATATCAGGCATTTTCGAAGCCAGTTTATCATAGAGGGTCGACATCTTTTGCCTCATCTCAGTTTTAGTTCAGCTCGAATTGATATCAATTCATACGCGTATGTTATCGTCCAGAGTGTTCCGTCTATACCGATATAGACTGAAATTAATTCTATTTCACTCCATACTGTTATGGGCTAGTCTGTACAGGTATGGATTGATAATCTGTTCAAGTCATAAAGCAGTTGCGTTGAAGCCTTAAATTCCCAGGGTTTACTCATTACTAAGCTTACCACTGTACCCAAACCTCAGCACTGTTCTCTGGATATTTAGGTTTATCCTGGCTTAGCTATAGGCCGAGGCTTAGGCAGTATGCAGAAAAAACCACACATTATTGGTTTGTGCCGAGAAGCAAATTAGTTTTTATCCATACCGGTATGGACTGAATTGCGAATTAATTTCAGTCTCTGCCGGTGCCACCACTCCATCGTAGATATTCCGCATACACTCTATAATAGTGAAGTTCTGTCTAAAGTTCACAGGCTTAGCGAAGCTAGATAAAGTTCGGGCGGAACAATTTTTGCTGCACTCGTTTGCGAGTTACCTTTTGGGGCTGAAAAGCCTTAATTGGACTGTTTTTGCACTGCTTAGGATGCAACATTAACGGCACGGACTCTTCTCAAAGTTGCATTGGATGTTAGTAAAGGGCAGATGTATTGTCATCGAGCATCTGCCCGGATTTGCGGCGGCTTCAGATCTACTCACAGGAGCTCGATCCAATGGTGAAGAACTCTGAAGTATTGCAGAAACCTCCAGAAAACGCATTCCGTGCAACCCGAGGGGAACTTGTGAAAGGCAAGACTTAGATGACAATGTCTTGAGTTGCTCAAAAGTGGATTGTTGCTATTTTCTACGATGGCAGTAACTTAGCTCGCCTGACTCCGTATCATTTTACTTTTTACAATCTAGAGATTGTGACATGACGCGAAGGCAATTTCATACGATTACTCAACGTTCGATGATCCTAGTCTGATATTCTATTTTTCTTTTGTCGCGATCTGCATAAACGGTTATGCGTTGTCCAAGGTATCGACGTGTTGTTGTCTGACATGGTAATTTTACATTGCTAGTAAAGCTACATCCAGGCTTTATCATTTTAGGCTCTCCTTTCCTGTTGGACGTCGTCGATAAAACATCGATCGCCGTTTCCGGCGACGGTTTGTCGATGGCCAGTGTGGACAACCTGGCGACGTTCATGATTAAAGCTGCTGGAGTCGACAGTCAGGACCTGGTTGTGACCATAACAGGTATCACATACCGGATTCTAAGTACTCTGAGTCCCGCTTGCATACTGACACCTTTGATGTAAATGTTTCGTTGCCCGACACTATACCGCATTGGAACCCCCTGACACCATGTGATCGGTGTTCGGTGTAAGCTGCATGTGAACAAACGTCGTTTTAACCTGAACCGTCTGCATGCTTGCGTTTTTACACCTTCAGGGACACGAACCACTTTGGTTCAAATATCCGTACATTTTACTGCATCATGAGAGGTAGGTAATCACCATTGTATTGTTTAGCCATGGTTTTTTCCCCAGAAATCGTCCACGCTGTTTGTGCATTAAATTATGTCCGAAGTTGTTTTCGTTTTGTGCATATCAGTCGCTTTGATATTTTTGATATTGTTGATTAGCGCCTTCCGGCAAAACGAAACGTGCTCGCATCATTGCGCTCAGCGATTCGACCTACCGAGCCGAATGGAAGCCGATCGAAACTGGTAAGCAGTCGTAACCTAACGCGTTTGTCAGTTTGTTTCATATGTTACGCTCAGTTCTGAGACGATGGCGGATGTGACAGTTCTGTCCAGTGGAATGATCGATTGCCACCATTTGAGAATCACTTGAGTTTCACTCGTATTTCTGTTGCGCACCTGTAGTTGTCCTGAGCTGAAGAAACAAATATGCCTGTCCGTCGCGTTGCAAACGTAATTTGTTCTGTTAAAACCGCGTAAGGCGAAAATTCGTTTTTATTCGAATTAAATTTTAATTTATTTTTATACAAAAAATTCTGCTCTCTTGCAGAAAAATTACAAAATAATTTCCCCACTGTCACGTCACGTTACCGCACACTCTTGAAAGCAAGAACAGAGTAGCAGCAAATTGAATGGTAATAAGATAATAATAAACTATATACTGATGAAGTAAAGCTCTACTGAAGTACCAAATCAAATGGTCACAGATCACCGCAGTTACCGTAGTTACAATATAAATAAAAAGCTTACG